AAAATTGTACAATTAGGAGAGGGCAGAACTGAAAGAGATACAGAATTTGTAGTGGAGGAAGCCAGCCCAACAATAGGATTTCTGCCACAGACATTCCACTGCACAGGAGCAGGAGCAGAAGGAGGAGATGCTGTACATGAGCTTGGGCTGGAAGTTAGCAGGTGAACCTTGTGTTGGAAGGGAAGGGTGTGAAAGCCAATGGTGAAGGGAGGTGAAGAATGGAGAAAATCAACAATCACAATAATGGGAGAAGAGGAGCAGAGGGCCTAGGACAGACAAGAAGTCATCAGTGCTGATAGACTGGATGTCACAGAAGGGCCGAGTGGCAGGGTGCTGTGGTGGGCAGCTGATAGCTGCAGTTGCATGAGACCAGGTGATGGCTGGAGAAGGGGACTCAGCAAAGGAGATAGCAGAGCTTGGTGAAGCCATTCAAATGAATGACCCTTTAGGGAAGCAAGAGAGTGGAATGCAGGACTACAGCTGGAAAGAAGATATGAGTGTCCTATACTTAGCGATGTATAGACAATCTTTCCTTACAGTCCCAGTGATCTAGGGAAGTACTGCCTGCATTTCACATACATGGAGACTGACTCCAGAGAGGTTATGACTTGCCCAAGTCCAAAGAGGAAGTCAAAGAAGGTTTAGAACATGGGGATTCCTTGCTCCTAGGCTTACGTTCAGCGTAGTACAATAGACCTTTAATAGGGAAATGATTGATTTCTGAATGGCAGGGAAGAGGGCATTGATCTCGGCTGCCAGATTATTCTTATTTCTCAGAAGCTCAGTAACATCAAGCTGTTGCTCAGGATCAAAGCCTGGGGCATGTTTGCAGGAAGCTGAAGATGGGTCAGTGGCTGAGGATGCAATTCCTGATCAGGGCATTTCTTTTGGACTGTTAAATCCCACTGAACTTGAGCTCCTTGTTGCATGTTTCCCCCAGCCCATATCCACCTGCATTGGCAATGTGAAAGACTGTATGGTTATTGAGGGTCAGTATGTTCCTGGAGCAATTGTACTTGCCTGGATATGTCTATGCTGCATCCATAGTCGATTAAGATAAATTAGCCTGTGTTGAACTCTGTGCTGCTGTGCCAAAACTGGTGCTAGTATCCCAGCTAACCAATTTAGAACCTGTTTGGGTACTGCTACATTATACTGCAGGGTAGACATACCCTTAGAGTTTCCATCTTACAGAACCTTTTTCATGGGCACTGAGGTGCTTGTGCACACTCAGTTGAGAATCAGTAAAACTGAGAGCCAGACTGCCTCCCGAAGAGCCATTTCCCCTCTCATCCCCTCTTGCAGTGTTAACAAGCTGACCGTCTCTTTGCATCTGAGTTTCTGAATTCCATGCCAACTTCTGCCTATGCCCATGGCAGGGATAAAGTCCACCACTGCTGCTTTTTTAATTGACTTCATATTTGTTTTCCCTCCTGAATGATCATATCACTCCCCTAAAAGGCTTTCTGGCCCTTAGATTCTATTAATCCTGATTCCCTACTGCCTTGTTACTTGTGCTGTGACACCTCAAGGTCAGCCGTAGACCCTAGCTGGCTGTACCATTGTGCCCAGGTAAATGACTTCACCTGGAATGAGGGAGAGGAGAATCAGGCCCATTATATAACTGCATTATCTATGGAGAGTTACTCCCATTCTGTGCCCCTCCTCCCCCAAAGTTGCCAGTGCCCTGTAGTCCATAGAATCTCTCTCCTCCAGACCTGCACCATCTTACATCTCCTGTGATGTATTTCAGGCTGGCCTGCAGCCCCCACTTGTAGTTTCAGTCCTCATTCTGCCCTCCCTCCCCTTTCCCTCCCTACCCCCACCCCACTTGAAGCCATGCTGGCTGATGACAGCTGTGCACACAACTTTGGGCCCCCTCCCAAAGACACTCCTTGTAGGGGGTGGATGGTTTGCATGTGAAATGCTTGGCTTGGTCCTTCCAGCCAGGGACGGGTGTGCAAGAAGAGCAACCTGGACGGCTCAGCCTGCTCTGCCTCCATAGCGTAGCCATTGCCAACTGTACAGTCACTTGTCAGGAATGATGGGGCCATGGTTCTGTTTACAGACATGCTCCACTGTTTGCCCTGTTGCCTGGTGGACGCTGCGGTATGTTTATCCTCTTCCCAAGTCGTGTGAGCCGCTGCTACCTCTTGCTGTGCAGTCAAACAGGGCCCAGGACACAGGGGCCTGTCAGTAATGTCCAGAGCCTTGTGCTCTATAAAAAGCCTATTGCTGTCCTACCCACTAAGTTTGCTAACCAACTGGCACAAGCTTCTGCATGAGGGAGTGACCACAGGATACACTGCCAGTGCAGGGAGCAGGAGCAATGGAGAGACCAGAGAAGAGGGTGGCTGCAGTGAGGGAGTGCCCACAACATGGGTGGTTGTACTGGGGGCAATGGAGAGGTCAGCTGCACTGGAAGAGTCCCTACAGGGACAAGAGACACAGCTGCAGTGCACTGACTTCCAGCTCTTTGGATTACTTGTGTTTGTAGCTCTCTTAAGAAAACCAGCTTATGAGGGTCTTACCATGACTCATTCCAAGCACCCAGCAGTAGTTTTCTCTCTAGACATTATTCCCCTATGAAACCATTGTCTGTTTAGTTTGTCATCTATGATGTTTTTGGTGGGCTCACAGCTGTGGGCACAGAGCACCATTCCTTCTGCCCAGTGGTGCTACAAGTGCATAGCGGCACCTGGACTTGTTCTTTGGGGCAGGAACCCCTGTTGTTTGTTCAGTGTCTGAACAAGTGGGGCCCTGTCTGGTCTGGCTTCCACTATAATGTATGAGATGATAACAGTGCAGAACTGTGCACCAGGCTCCTCCCGTAATGGGTAAAATATGGCCTTCATAGAGAAGAATGAAAGACTGTGATTTACAGAGTAACTGGGATGAATTGGCAGAAGCTGGATTCAGCTGTCAAATAAAGGGACAGGAGCTATTTACCTAGGGCAGGGGTTTTCAACCATTTTTAAGGAGTGTACCCCTTCTAGGTATACTTCTTGTGGAGTGGGGGTGGGGGGTGAAGAGGGCTTGCACACAGCAGCTCAGGGTGGTGGATGGCAACGGCTCCATGCAAGCTCCAGCCCCCTTTGTCTGGGCGGTGCCTGTGCAGCCCACAGAGGGGTGCCACTGCCCTCAGTCCCCTCCCTCCAAGCCCTGCTCCTGGGAAATGGCAGTGCGGGGTGGTGGGTGGCAGTGCTCCATCTCTGTATGCCCATGCGTACCCCCTAGCCCGTTTCAAAGTACCCCCGGGGTACACGTATCCCTGGTTGACAACCCCTGACCTAGGGCCTTGCTTACACTAGAAAGGGTTTGCTATGCCACTGTAGCAGGTGACATTGGTCTTCAATGGTTGATCATGCAAACCCATTAGTCTTGGCAGTTTCCTTATACCACCAGATGTCCAAGCAAAAGGAAAAGACCCTCCACTGACAAGACCTGCAGGATTTATACGCCAGTGCAATTGCCTCTCCTGAGAACCAGCTTGTCCTTGTTGCCGCTTGGACTGGGGGAGCAGCTGGGCTTGGGAGCTAATCGCTTTAGCTGGTAATCAGCCTAGACTGGGCAACCTGTTGCCATTGTTCCATTCATTTCCCTCATCTCCTGCTTCTGAAAGGAGGAATTGTTTATGTGGGGTCAAGAAAACAGGATCTAGCGCAAAGGAGGGTGGGAACCAGAAGGGCAGCGCAAGCTTTCCTGCCTGTGCTCCTTGCAGGGAGCTGGTGACGTTAATATCTCAGGAAGGAACACAGAGTTCCTGAAGGGAGCTGGAGACATTCCATTCATAACTGAGCAAGGATCTGGCACGTCACCCCTCTCCTCCCCCCTCACCCCCCCATCCATCACATGAGCTGGTCTCCAGGAGAGTCCCTCAGGGAGCTCCAGCTATTATTGAAACCCATTTCCATGGCAGATTTCCAGATGTACATTTCTTTTCACATGAGATGGAGAAACAAACTCCTCCCAAAAGCATTCGTCCGATGACCTCTTGCACTTGCTGTACTTTTCCAGTGTGTTTGGACCCTAGCCTCTCTGGGTATTCTAAGTGCATAGGACAGCAAAGAGGCATGCTGGTATCATCAAGACTTATCTTCACCCTTCAAGTCATAGGAAAGCAGAAAAGTGGATGTCATGGGTTCATTGACCTAAAATGCAGATAGAGTCCATGTTCCCCAGACACAGAAGGCACGTGCACCAATCCCACTGGGTGGGTGTACCTCTTGCATTTCTTATTTAGTGACTGTTGATTAAAGAGTTAGTGTCCAAGGAGTGATTTGAAAATATAAGCTGTTATATAAAAGGATTATCATCTGCCTTCTGGAAGCAATCAGCTCTCTATTATACTTCTTAGAACAGACCGCACGAGGATGTTCATCATTTTTCTGTTATAACATTCCTGTTGTTATTTTAAAGCCACAATGAAAGGAGCAGGCAGGTGAATGCCTCTTTCCAGATCTCCTTTTTGAGTCCCAAAGTGGCCTCAGGAAGTGGCAGGTTGAACCCTGCAGTACATCCTAAAAGTGCAAGAAAGCACTGCAGAATATTAGAGCAATCTATGTGTGCATACTACAGATTGATGTGGCTCCCAGCTGTCTGCAAGTTCTACCCCAGTTCCCAGGTCCTTTAGAAATATAGTGCTTGAGGCTGAAACTGAAAGTTTGGAGAGAATTAGTCACTCCTGGTACCTTAGTAACGTTGGCGAAAACCAGCCACAAACACAACAGAGATGAGCGTTTGTGCAATCCCAGCAAGACTTTGGTCAGCAGCAGCAGCCCCTACATTTCCACTTATAAAGACGGAGCTGGCAAAAGGGGTTGGAAAAAGAACAACGCTCTTAATTCAGTGGCAGTGTGAAGCGAGCCCTTGAAAAACCCTCCTGCCCCCATGCCTTAGTCTCCATATCTCAGGAAGCTGGTGCTGGGCTGGCTCACCAGGAGCAGGGCAATATGCAGAGATTTACTAATAATCCTGACATTAATGATTCCTCCCACTAGGTCGTGCCTTCCATTTCTGTGGAGCCTCCACTCCCAAGGAAGAAGATGGAAAAGACTGAAGCTTTTACCACACAGGCCTGAGTGTTGCATGCTTCTGCTACAGAGGAGGTCCATGAGATTTTGTTACAATGTGGGCCAGCCCTTTTTATTTATCACTGGCTTCTTAAGGCTAAAGACTGCACTCCTTCACAGTCCTGTACACCTTCCATCTGTGGATCTCAACACATGCTATATTCCTCAGTTGGTCCTCCAGGCCTCCTGTGAGAGGCCACGATTGCTGTTTCCATTTGGAAGAGGAAGAAGCCAAGACCCAACCAAGGTTTTAGTTGATTTGCCCACAAAGAAATGAAAATGGGTGAAGCCTCAGTCTTCTGCTTTGTCTCTTAGAAAACGTTCTGAATCGGATCCAAGCATGGCCCTTTGGACCCCCCATATCTGACCCAACTGTTCTCCATGATATCAGGAACCCTCTGCAGTTTGAACCAACTGCTGTGCTTTCTTCTGCTGGCTTTCTTGCGGTCCTGCTAGCTGGGTGCTGGGAGAGGAATGAGAGAAGCTGGCTGCTCAGCCAAACAGGAATTCAGAGGAGAAGCTCTCTCTGGAATGCTGTGGCCCATGTTAACCAGTTCCAGATTTACACAGCTCACGTCACTGCCTGAAATGAGAAATGGGCCTTGCTTAACCATGGCAAAACATAGCAACGGCACGGCAGTGCTGGCTGCAGCACAAAAACCAGTTTTTCAGGCTGTCTCAGGCTTCACAGCAGAGTAGGAGGCAAGGTTTCTGGGAACTGGGAGCTGGCTTATGGTAATGCCACCTCCACTATGAGGTTGGGATGAAAGCCCCAAACTCTTCTTGGTCTGGAGGGTCACAGACACTGGCGAGCTGGTACCTGTCCATGGTACAGGGGGTGCACCATAGAGCCTAATGCAGTCTGCCTGGGGATAGGGAAGGCCAGGGATGGGGGTAGTGGATCCACCAGAGGCTCTGTCTTCTGGGACAGGGGGCAGGAACATTGTATGGCAAGCCAAGGTTTTCAGTGCTGCTCCATGGTCCAGATCATGCTGCACCACACAGGCATGGCTTGTGAGTAGGGTGTTAGTCTCTGAACCTAGGATTTTTGGACATTCAAGGCATCTCCTGTGCCTTTTAGGGGCTTGGATGGGCCAAGGAGGGGTTACTTCTTGCCTAAACAAAAGGTCCTCCTTCAGCATTTTGGACAGGGGATTTTTATGCTGTGTGAGCTGCTTGATTGGGCTTGACAGAATCAAGTCCCTGTGAGCAGTGGGGGTGTGGCAATTTAGACCTGTATGTTACAGTGGTACCTAACTCCATAATAGGCCAAATCAAACTGGAGCTTAATATCCGGGACTGAGGAAGGTCAAATGTGGATGGTCCAGGCCCATTTCCAAAGTGAGTACAGGCAGGTGACTTTTACTCTCACCCCTTCAACCACATGTAAAATGGCACTCATCCAAGCCAGCCTCGAGATTCAGCTGTAGGTTGCCAAGGTTCCGCACATGAGTGAAGCTTAGAGAGAGGCAAAGGACCCCTTACCCTATCCAGCCTGGCTTGATCTGTGTGACTAGCTACCCTCCAGAATGAGGATGAGTTACCAGTCCATCTCATGAAGCAGTCCTTCAGGACTTAGTTCCTGTGAATCTGGGGAAGGAATTGGGACAACAGAGCAAGTGTTTACAGTTGTTTTGAGAGATGAAGGACTGAGAGGAGGAGGAGGGCATATCAGGAAATCCAAACCACCAGAATGCATCTTATCAGTCTGGAATTCTCTGCCTCCATCAGGGATATTGAGGGTATGCAACATAGTGCGCCATTCCAACCCACTGCGCAGTGTTGTACAGGGCAGGGAGAAGTTTTGAGAGATCCTGGACTGTGGATGCCCAGCCTCAGGAGCTGTGGTTGTCACCATCATGGCTTCAAATGTTATTATTAGTTATAGAAAGAGATATTACTTTTAAAAAACCACCTACATACATTGGGTCCATGGTCCAGAGAGGCCATGAAGTCCCATGGTGGTTACATGCTACAGGACACCTCGTTTCCTTTTATAAATGGCCAGCCAGTTTAGAGGCAATAACTTTCACATCAATCCCTTGGTTTTTGTATTTGGGGATAGCATAAAAGGGTGGGATGGATTGGCTTTCATCCTCCTGCTCAGCTTACATAGCACCATCACGCTTGTTCCAGCACTTCCTGTTTCCATCCTAAATAACCCAGGTTTGTCTCATCTATCATCACATGGCAACTTGAGCCCCATCCTATTAACTGTCTCTGTTGCCTTTTTTTCTAGGCTGCATTGGGCTCCTTTCTGCAAGTACCTTTAGTACCATTGGAGTGAAGTGTAATCCTGGGAGGGTTTAGTTTCAGTTTTGTGATTGTTTTGTGTCGAAGTGCCTGCCCATCCAGGTGTCCCCAAGGTACCAGGAAACGGAGGTTCAAATTATTGTAGAACTTTTAATTCAGGGAAGAACCCCATCCCATGCACACACCAGAAACCTACAGCAGTATGTAGAGGCTGAAAGGGAAGGGTCTATGGGCACCTATAGACATGCCAGACGTCTGCTCTGGTGTGTGCTAATTAGCACATGCTGGACCAGACTCAATTAGTCAAGCTTACTGGAGAGTACTAATTAGCACGCTCTAGCAGTCTCTACAATCACTTGTATTCAGCATCTCTGTGCTTCAAAGTGGTGGTAGGGATGCTTTAACTAAATCTCATGGAACGAGCTTTAGTTAAAGCATCCCTGCCACTGTTTTGAAGAGTGGGATGCTGAATACACATGATGCTGCAGGTGCTTTAGTTAGAGCTGCTCTCGGAGCCACTCTAATTAACCCACCCCCACTCCAGAGCATGTGTAAAGATGCCTTATATTTCTGCACACTGGCACAGATGGATTTCCATGCAGATTGTCATGTGCAAGAGTAGAACAATGATCCTCACTTTGTGGGTGATGATGTATTATCATAGATAGGACCCTGACCTAAAAGCCAGAAGATTTTGTTCTTATCTTTACAGTGCCTCCTACCCTTTCCCTCTTTAGACCGTAAGTTCTTTGAGGCTGGGCCTGTCTCTCACCACACATTTATCCAATGTCCAGCAAAATAGGCCCCATTTAGGATGAAAGAGACAGGAGGCAGTATTAGCAAAAATCTTCAACTGAAACAATGAATTAAGTTCCCCTTTTCATATACCAGTGTAACAGGATCCCTCTCCATGATGCCTCTGGAGCCCCCCTCAACCCTTGCCAACTTCACTGTCTTTTGAGCAATCTTCCCTTCCCCTCACCTGCCACACCTTGATGTATTTATCTTTCAGAAAAGGGGAGGCTGCCCCAGGACCTCC